CCCCCCCCCCCCCCCCCCCCCTTGTTAACAACTAGGTCGAGTTTCCGACCGTAGCAAACATTGGAGTAAAACCCTTGTCTCCCCCCCCCACACTCGATCCGTCCTCTCGAAAACCTGTGGTCCATGCTCTATATTCGCTCATGCCATGCACACCATGAGCACGATCCCTCCCCCGCCCCCTCCTCGCGAAAATCAATTTCCCGATGCCGCCGTTGTCGCACCTGGCTTAACCCCGCATGCACAGGCTCAACCTGTGTGCATCTGGAATCCAGCAACTCCACGAGGCTTATCGAAGGGGCTCCGCCCCTTCGGAGGCCGGCGGAGGAGGGGGGGTAGGGGGCGGGGGCGGCGCGGGCGCGGGCGCGGCGGAGGCAGCCGGGGCGGGGGCGGGAGCGGAGGCAAGTTCCCCCGCAGACGGGGGGGCCGTGGTTGCTCGGTGGGGGGATGCGTCCACGGAGGCAGGAAGGAAGCAGCTGCAGCAGGTGCGTGCGTTTGCGTGTGCGTGTGTGTTTGTGCTATGTTGCACCGATGAGAAGACCGATGACCAATGAGAAGACGTCAGTGCCAGCTGGTAGAATCAAGGTCCCTGGAAGGGGGCCATATGTGTGTGATATCTTTTTTAGCACCGACGGCGCGAACCGGCTGAATAATGAAATGATAACAGCGTCGGTGCGCGGTTGAGCACACTACCAAAGTTTTGAAGTATGCTGTATGGGGTGGGAACCCGAAAGGGGGCGTCATGGGAGAGGCTAGTCTATTCTCTGGATTATTGACGGATACGGTAGCGGCAGAGAGTGAATGAAACCACGCGTGCTTGTGAGGTGTGTGATGCATGCGTACGCATACGTTTCTCTTTGCTGCTCAGCTCGTAGGCGTACAAATGGTTGCGCGTGGACCGTATGCGTACCACGTTGCACAGCGTGTTGTCATCCTCTGATGCCGAGCAGTAAGTGGGATGGTTGTTTCGTGAGTCCCTTCCCCGTTTCTTGTCATCGTCCGTCGCTCGCAGTTCGTACAATTGCGTCGCCATGTGCAAATGACCTGTCTTTGTGCTTTGTGCTTAGGTCGGTCGAAGCGGATTGGCGTGGTAATCCCGACGGCACTCTCCTCTTCCGTCCTGCTGCGGCTGCGGCTGCTGCTGCGGCTGCACCTGTTTGCTGCTGCTGCTGTTGATCGCTGTTTGCTGTTCGTGCTTGCTGCCCGCCCGCCCGCCCGCCCGCCCCCCCTG